GCTGTTAATTATGTAATTCAGCAGCGAGAAGAGTTTGGCCAACTGTTCTACGAACTTTCATGTCCACCTGCTCCAGACACCAGATCCTTTGGTGTGCTGTGGTGGAAGGACACTTGAACACCCCCAGAGAGCAGACCCCAGTGCCCCAGTTCTGCTTCCCAGAGGGGCAGCTGGAGCTGAGCTGCTCCATAGTAAGGGCTCTGAGGAGCAGGGATGGCTCTTCCTCATCCTCTCCCTGATGCCAGAGCTGTAGGTGGCACCTGAGCCTCCAGCAGCTGTGCCTGCCACTGCTTCCCAAGTGGGAAAGTCATAAAGAAAGGGCTCTGTCTTGGAGAATTTACACTTGTACAAACAAGTCTCCTGTAAAGGTGAGGTTAGGGCATAACACAAGCGTGATCTGTTAGCCTTTAACTAGGACTGTGTTTGCATTCAGTTCCTTTATGTCACAAAACCCTTAATGAGGATAGAATAAATGGTGCTGTGTTGCCCATAATCACTGATGATGCATTAGCCAGTGGAGATCCTGGCAAGTTTAAGAAAATCAGGGGCATATTTCTTGTCTTTATGTATGCATTAGCAACCACAGTATATTCTCTCTAGAAATACACAATAGGATCAATAGGATGAGGGAACACACAACAGGAAAGGGTGACTGAATGCTGAAGTCCCTGACCCACAGCTGAATTGAGGTAAAAGGCAGCAATGAGGTTCCCTGTCACCAGTGCCAGAGCAGGAGGTGTAGTTTGGAGACCCAAGAGTTGAGTCCTCATGACCCCAAACTTGCTCCTTAGTTACCAGAATGGCATCTAGCAACAAGGCACTAAGAAGCTGTACAGTCCAGAGCTGTTCCACTTATCCATCGAGCCTGGATTAGCCTGGATTTCTTCATCCCAGTGGAGGAGGAATAAACTCTTGTTATCAGTGTGAGGAGCAAACCTGAAGTGCTATCAGAAGCTGCTTATCAAGGACAATGACAGATTTGCCTGGGACACAGAACAGCATCTCTGGTTATTAATTCTCAGCTAGAAGAGCAAGTACCACAATCCTTAAAAAAAAGCAGCAGTGCATCAGCAACTCTCAGTCTCTGCTGGGTGTGATCCTTTCTCTGGAGATGAGGCACCATGAACAGCCAGAGTGTTTACCAGCAAGTGGTGAAGGAGAACCTTCAAGTATTCCCTTGCTTGAAATATCCTGCAACACTTATGCAAAAAAGTTAGTGAGATAAACTCTGATTCTGTGGGATTTGTTCTTTGCACACTTCACTTGGTGTCTCAGTGCAGACCAGGCCTTGCTATGGGATACTCTGCTAGGTGTTAGTTTGAGACAACTCTCTTAATGGCAAAACAGCACGAGGGGCTTGTGCCTTCCTCCTGTTTGCCTTCCCCGTGGGATGGGAGTAAGAGGTTTGGTTAGGATGTGTGGGATGATGCATCCAGGTGCTGCTGCAGCCCTGCAGGTTGTTACAGTGCTCCAGGAACAGGACTAACCTCTGTGTTCCCAGAGCTGCACATCACGAGTCTGAGACAGATCAAAGCTTTCCTGAAGCAGCCTCAGCTGCTCATGGGCAGAAACCCAGTCAGCTCAGCATCAGGGGTTAAATGTTACTGCCTGAGGTGAGCTCTGCCATTCCAGCCTCAGCTAGTTAAAAATACACTTAGGGAGGATGATGGTTTAAACCAAAAATGGAATCACAACTCCTTTGTACCTGTTGTGGATGGGTCAGGGTGACAAGTGCAAGCTTTGTGCTAAAGGATCTCCATTGGTATGCAAAGCTGACATGGTTGGCTGTAAAATTCCATTCTCCTAACAGTCTGAAACCAGGTGAAATAAACTGGCAGTGGTGTACTGAGTGTCTACTGCCTTGAAAGGCCAGGAAAATAAACATGAATGCTGCAACGTTAATGTGAGGTGTGTGACAGAACTTCTGCACAGTCAAAGCATTCAAACTCCATCCAGGGAAACTCAAGAGAACTGCCAGAAGTAATCAGCAGTAATTAACCATATCTGCTATCATGCTGAACCCTTTGGTCAGCCAGGCTCAAACATTTCAGCAGATCAGGGTATTGTTTCTAAGCCACTATCAACAAAATGTTCACTGGCTTTTCTTAAAAGCACATGGTCCTGGAGAGCTCCCTCACCTTTTCCATAGGCAGGTGAACTTCTGAACTGGAACTGAGGAGCTGGGCAGGACTGCCTGGGCAAGGATGTGCAGCTTCCACTTCAAATGCTTTCTCCATCACCACAAATAAACCTTCTGTCCAGCTCCTATTGGAAATGGATGTTCTGTTCCCCTCAAGCCCCATCAGCACTGGGAAGGAGCCAAGGTCTGTCCCAAGTGCCACAGCTGGCCCCAAACTCCACACACGTGGTATTGAGGTGACTTTGTTTTACTGGATGCCATCACGAGCTACATTTTCTTTCTCTGCAGACACACTGAAGTAATTCCAATTTTCAATGCACAGCAATAAAAAACTAAACATTTCTTTAATACAATTATGGTATCACTTCCAAGGATATTTACAAACGAGGCTAATTATTTTACAGATGAATGTGCTTCTGCTGTTCTAGGCTACTACAGTAACATAATTCTCAGTCCATGCACCATCATGCTGATGCATGAGACACTGGTAGAAGGACACCTGACTTGGTTTAGTGTAAGCTGAGAAACATTTGCTCCTACTAACGATGAAGGAACACGAACAAAATATGCATAGTCATTGAATCAGGAAACTTAAGCACCAATCACACATGCACTGTTGGGAGACTGTCAGGACAATTCCATGATTTCTCAACAGCTGTGGAGCACTTTTCCACACAGTGAAAGTGTCCCGAGGCACAAACAGGATGACAGCTCTGTGATTGGTACTCTGCAGGATGGAAATACATAAACTCAGCATTATTTGACAGCATGGATTGGAGTGAACAAGACAAACTGTACCAAGTAACCATACACATTTTGGAGGTATTATTCCTCTAACACTGCATAGGAAGTTGAAAAGGATTCTCCTGCTCCTGTAGGAACTACATGGCAAAGAGAGAAAGATGTTTTTTTCTGAGGGGACAGTTAAAAGGCAAAATAAATTCCTGGGCTCAGCCATGCTACATCACTGGGGTATTTATGAACCTCTGGATGAGGGAGTTGGGGTTATCCTGAGGGGAACCTACAGGAAAGATGGACAGGGACTTTTATACAAGGGCATGTAGTAACAGGACATGGGGGAATGGCTTCAAACTGGCAGAGAGTAGGGTTAGATTGGACATGGGGAAGAAATTCTCCCCTCGGAGGGTGCTGAGGCTCTGGCACAGGTTGTCCAGAGAAGCTGTGGCTGCTCCATCCCTGGGCCAGGTTGAGTGGAACTTGGAGCAACCTGAGCTAGTGGAAGGTGTCCCTACCCATGGCAGGGGGTGGAACAATAGGAACTTTAAGGTCCTTCCAACCCAAACCATTCTGTGATACACAAACAGCTTCATCAGAGTCCTCAGCCACCCGTGGAA